AAAGAAGAAAATAATCCCTTTTGGTGTTTTGAGGCAGCGTCTCACAATACAGCCTGGGTTAGCCTGGACCTTGTGTAGGTTGGCTTGGTCTTGAACTTGCAGGGTTGACCCCTGACCCTCCACAGAAGCACAGTGACACTCTCAATATTACACATACTCACATAGTTATAATAACAATTTAAAAAATTGGAAAACGAGATTCTTAGCTTTCCTGTTCAGGCTCTGATGTTTTCCTCTGATGCCATATAACCCTTGTTTATTTCTGAAGTGTAGTTCTCATAACAGTTTTCATAAATAGAGAATCAAATTAATTATCAGGTACGTCAAGTTGACTTGGGAATGTGATTCTTTTTCTACTTCTCACTTGTCAAGGGAAGTTGAATCTGGAATGCACTGTTAGTGGGAAGTGTGTGTGTGTGTGTGTATACACTTGTGTGATTATAGAGGTCAGAAGTGAATGTTGCATGTGGCTCAGGCACCTTTTGAGACAGGGTGTCTCGTTAGTCCAGAACTTGCCCTGTAAGCTAGGCTGGCTGCCACGGGGAACCCCAGGAGTCCTCTTGTCTCTCCCAAGCCCCAGTGTTGGGATTATAAGCACAGTGTTAGGATTATAAGCACATCCTAATTTTTACATGAATTCTGGGATCAAGCCTTGTACTGACTGAGCCATTTTCTAGCTCCTGCCCTTTGTGCTTCCTGTAGCATTTAGCACACACTGTCACAGAAGACATACTGGGATCAAATCGTTATTTCTAAAACGGTAAATAAAAGGAAAAATCACCACACCCAGGTGTGGTGGTGCACTCCTTTAATCCTAGCAGTTGGGAGGCAGAGGCAGGTGGATCTCTGAGTTCAAGGCCAGCCTGGTCTACGGAGTGAGTTCCAGGACAGCCAGGGCTACAAGGAGAAACTTTGTCTCAAAAAACAAAACAAATAAAAATCATTTTATCCTTACATTTTGGTATGTCTTAGGTCATGAGGAAAATATTTTTTTAAAAATCAAGGTAATAATAATGGGGCTGAACAAATGGCTCACTGGGTGCTCTTCCAGAGGACCCTGATTCAATTTCCAGCACCCACATGGCACCCACAACTGTCTCTAACTCCAGTTCTAGGGAATCCGACACCCTCACATAGACATACATGCACAGTTAAAAAGGAATCATTAAAACATTTAAAAAGATCAACTTAATATAAGTTCACTGTGTCCAGCCGAGGATCACAGTAGCTACTAAGATCATGACAGACAAGCGTGTCGGCCTTGAGTCAGTGAGTGGCAGTCACAGGTTCTAAGCTCGCCAGCAGGTGCCTCAAAAGGGAAACCCTGGCATTTTTAATTTAAGGACTCTTAAGAGTTAGCTGTTTTGACTTTGTATTTTTATTAAACTTTTGTCATATCTAAAACCATGTTGGTTACAAATGACATTAAGATAACTTACTTGCTTGATTTTATGTGTATAATAGTTCAGAATAATAACATCAGTATTACTGCTAATGTGATCATAGTTCGTGGTACCTTTACTGCATTAGACCTTAGAAAACATTGTTGGATTTACTTTACATTATTGTTGTAAAATCATAGGAAGGAATTACTTTTTTGTGGTTAAGATACTATCCCTATATTAGATGTTTTTACTTTCAGAGATTTAAAAAATTAATATTCATATGGTTTAAAGTTAAAATTCAGACCTATAAAAATACAATGAGAAAAGTCTGGACTTGATCTTTTCCCTCTACTTGGTTCCTCCCTCCCACTCTAGGTAATTGTTAGTTCTGCTTTTAGGGTAACCCTCCAGTTCTAAAATACATGTGTATGCATGTGCAGTTATATGTATCTCTTATACAGATAATAAGCTTGTGCTTTTACTCTCGTCTCCTAGATTGTGAAGTAGCTTATGCACTGGTGAGCAAACTTGTCAAATTTGTGTTGGATTTCAGGTCCCCACGGCACAGTGGAAGGAGAGCAGAGCGCTGCCCTCCACATGTGCGCTGTGGTAAACATTTTTAAAAGTAGCTTACTCTACACAGCTGTTTCTGCTCAAGGTCTTTCCTGTTTTTATGTTTACCAGCACAGCCTCAAGGTCATTTACAGCACTGTGTGGACACTGTTCTTTTCATATACACAAGTAGCATTTCATTGTGAGGCCGAACCTCACCTTATAAAGTCAGTCCTTTGCTGTTACAAATGATGCGTTTATCATGTTTTTGTTTCTCCAGTTTGCCTGTTTGTCCGTGGGCTGAAGCCCCAGGAGCATGCTGGGTCATATGCTGCATGAACCTGTCATTTTTCTAGGTATTGTCATACTTTTCTTCCAGAAGGTTTATCTCATTTTGCATTTCTAGAAATTAAGATGATGTTATACCTGTAATTCAGTGAGCCTTTAAGGTATACAATGTTGAATTGGATAACTGTGGGATAGAAGGAAGGATTGTCGTTAGTAATAAAATGTCAGTTTAAATACAGGCTCCTGCCGCTGCTCTTGGTTTACCACCAGAACGAGAGGGTAAGAACCTCTGATGAGGGAAGCCACCGCACACTGGATGTAGGGCTGAGAAAGCAGGCTGGCACTGAGGGCAGCTTTCTCCCGCTGGCTGGTGTGCATAGTACCAGAAGGGGCTGTGTAGTCTCCTAGGGAGAGAAAGGTCGTAAAGGTCTAAAGCAGCTGAGGATCCTGCAAGCTACAGTCCTGCAAAGCAAGACCTGCACACTGGTGCAGTAGTGCAAGAACGTTGTGGGATTAACCAGTCACTTCTTTATTGCCTTCAGGGACTGCTCCATGGGCGGGAGTGCATGATTGATACTGTAAACCTGGCCATACACCAAAGGTTGGGTGTTACAGGCCCTAGCAGAGGACATACTCCTAATGATTTACTAAGTGGGACCCACAGCCTAACCGCCTCCTAAGTGTTTGTGTTAATGTCCAATATGGGTCAGAGACACTTCTTTTTGCACAGGGTGAGAGTTAATGCAGAGGCTCCTGTGTGGCCAGAATGCTTAGAATAAGTGACTGTTGAGTGCTCAGCCCTAAATGATACACCTGCCCCTGCCTGGCCCAGGGAACATCACCCGAGAGGGGTGGAAAGATGATAAGAACCCCAGGATGGAGAAGAGCACCTCTGTTCTTTGCATGTGGCATGGCTGTTGCAGTGTTGGGCACACAGCAGCTGTGGCTACCTGCAGAAGACCGGCAAAGAAGATAAGGATCTGGGGATGATCTTTTCCTCGTTGGGAAAAGAAAAGCATCAAAAAGAATGGGCGAGGGATAAGAGACGATAATAGGGGTGAATGAGTGTAATGATTCCGTACATACATGAGATTGTCCAAGTTTGGAACGTCAGTGTAGTGTAAACACATTTCAAAGTTTTTTTTTTTTTTTTAACCTTAGCATGAATTAGTTAATTATATTGAAAGGAAAATAAAATATATGCTTTTAGCATAGGCACCATGTGCCTGTGTATTTGTATGTGTATTATGTAAAAAATGAAAGTGGTTCTTTTAGGTGAAAAAAACAAATTAGGAAATATCTCATTTTTCATTTGGCATAGTAAATATTTTACATTAAATTATTTAAGCTTTGAGGACTAATATTGCAATTTGCTGTTAATAAATTTGTTACTAGTAAATTTACTTTGAAGTTGGGCATTTATAGATTTAGTTGATAAAATTTTGGTTGTTCATACATGATCGTGTATTAATCTGCAATTCTGAGAGAATGTCAGTATTGTGTTGACTTTCTGCAGGCTTTTTAGTCTCTACTGGATTATTTCTTAAGGCTTTTTATTGGTGATGTGAGAGGATTAAAGTTTTCAGTTTAACAAGTGCACCCTTATCTTTGTGTTTTGTGGAAGAAGTGATGTAGCAGCTGCTGCTTGCGTTTTAAAGGTCTGGGAAGGACCATTCACAACATCCAAGTACTGTTGTAGAAGGGACCAGGTTGGAAGAGGAAGTTGGGTTCCAGGCTTACAGGCTGTGACTTTGGACTTTTCCCTGTAGATTAAAAAAAAAAAACAAAAACTTTGTTTTACAATTAAGAGAACACCTGAGGGAGACGTGACTTATTTTTTATATGAACTTTGTAAAACTATTGAACAATACTGTATAAAGTATATTTCTGCTAGCGTAGAAATGGAAGAGTACTTGTTATTAATGGCTGTGAAATAAACGTTTCTCAGGAGCACTGTGCTCTTAAGTGCCTTAAGGGATTTTGAAGGGGTGGGCCAGGACGGGGACCCTACTTAGGCCCATTCCCAACGTTTGGGTTAGGGAAACGAAGCCTATAACCCAGGACTGGATCCTGGGCTCTGACCCAGCCCATCAAGTCCAGCAGTCAGGGTATGGATTGGGGCTTGTGCATCTGGTGGTGATTTTGCTCTCTTGTTAACGCCTAGGTTTTGGTAATGATTTTATGACTAGCCAGGAGACTGTCGTTGTGCTTAGGGTATGGTGTATATGTCCCTGTGTCTACATATATATCAGTGGCTTGAAACATTCTCAGATGGCTCAGAAATATTAACAACACCCTAAAACACGGATTGTCCTACAGGAGCTCTGAAGTTGGTTTTGGAAATTTAAAGTGATTTTGAGATAAAAACCACTGGTTTATACAAAGTTGCAGCCAGTTCAAGGCATGATAGAATAGTTGAACTTAAGGCTGTCTTGTTCTAATGTGTGTATGTTTTATTTTTACTGTCTTTTCTACTTTTTCTAACCAAAGTATTGGATGATGGCAAAGTTCAGAAATTAAGAAAGCTTTTCTGCATTCCTCATGCCTTTTAGTTGTACCCTACTATGTCAGTGTTTCTATATTTTTACAGCTTTTCCAAATCAGGTTACCCTCTGTGTCCTATTTCTACCATGAGATCACTTTGCCAATGCTAAGTAGGTTTTTAAAAACTGTATCTTATTGTAAGCTTGTACTTTACACGGACTATTTTACAGCTTACGTATTTTGATTTAGTTTTGAGCTGAGTCCCTAAAAGTCATGTTCTTTTGTCCTCAGCTTAGGTTGTCTTATGATGAAGCCTTTGCTATGGCTAAGGACCCCTTGGAAGGCTTCCATGAAGTAAACCTTGCTTCACCTACTTCTCCGGACCTTCTTGGTGTGTGTGACCCAGGAACCCAAGAGCATACTACCTCCCCGAGTGTCATCTACCGGCCACACCCTTCATCTTTATGCACTGCTCCCGTCCAGGCTAATGCGTTAGATGTCTCTAATCTTCCCACACAACCCGTCTATTCATCTCCTAGGCGTTTCGACTGTGCGGAAATATCTAATATCAGGTAGGAGACCATCAGCACACGTAGTTTGAATTGTTGTTAGTTTGAGAAGTTTGCTTGGCTGTCTTAAATTATTCTTTTTAGAAAATTTGAGTAATGTAAGTATGCCCACATAGCGGGATATATTTAAATCCTTAGACCAGGAATTGGCAAACTTATGCAGACGGCCAGAACAAAAAATATTTTAGGCTTTGCAAGCTATATAGCTTTTTAAAATTTTATTTATTTATTTTTATTTTTTTCTAAGTGGGTGTTTGTTTGCATGTGTATCTGTGTACTGCATGTACGTAGTACCTGTGAAGGCAAGAAGAGGGTGTCAGATCCCTGGGTTACAGATGGCTGTTAGCCATCACCTAGGAGCTGGATACAAATCTGTGTCCTCTGTAAGAAGAGCAGGTACTCTTAACCACTGAGCCATCTCTCCAGCCCCAGGCCATACAGGTTTTGTACCAACTCTTTGGTTTTATTTTTACAGTATGAAAGCAGCCACAGACAGTGTGTAAATGAATAAGTATGATTGTTCCAGGAAAACTTGTGGCCACAGAAATTTCATACAACTTCTACAGGTCATACAGTGTTTCTGATTTCTTGTTATCCGCTCCCGGCTGTGGGCCTTAGGAAAGCAGGTGGAGACTTGAGTCAGCCCTCAGGCTACCATTTGTGCCCCTGTCCTTGAGGAGGAGTACTCAGTAGCACTTTCTTTGATGGTGACAATATTTCTGTAGTATCCTGTATGAGTGAGCGCCTTTAGCTACGTGTGGCATCTCTGGTGTGAGGACCTCTGCTCATTAAGTGGAGGTGGGCTAGTTCATGACATGTTTTATGGCGTACCTTCTGTCTCCTTGCAGCATTCATGTTCCAGAGCCAGCACCGTCCCTTGCCTCTGGGGTGGCAGCAGGGCTTACCAAGCTAACTGCAAGGAAGGACAGCTGTAACGCAGAGAGGGCGTTTCTGCAGGGTGCCGCCGTCACAGAGGCTCCCGCTGCCACGGAGGATGTCTTTGGGTTGAGTACGGATAGCCTGTCTCGGTTACGAAGCCCATCTGTCCTGGAAGTTAGAGAAAAGGGCTACGAAAGGTTAAAAGAAGAACTTGCAAAAGCTCAGAGGGTAAGAAAGTGCTATTGCTCTTTCATACGTTCTGTCAGAAACGACTGCTGTGATGGCAGCTGGGAACATTCTTCCAGGGTGTGATACTCTCCGCCTGCCTCAGCTTCGCTGGACAGCAGCTAGGAGGCGAAACTGCGCGAGTGTAAAGAAGCTCTGCCTAGCAGTAGGACCTGGAGAAAGAGATTCCAAGCTCTGCACCGACTGCCATCTGTCTTTCTTTTCTGTACACAGTTTTGTGGGTTAAATCCCGCATGGATTCCATGTGGATTATGTCCTTCTGTGGTGAATTGAGGCTCACTTCCTTGAAGCCCACCACTAGTTCTTTTTATTTGGAGGAATTGCTTTAGTAATGTCACCATTCTTTCTCTTCCTAATTGTGAACATAGTATTTTACTTTGGAGAATTTTCTTTCCTTGATAATTTCTGTTTGTCTTCAAATTTATGGTCAGCGCTTCTTACCTTCCCCCGCCTTCCCCAGAAATAAAATTACAGAGCGAACCATATAACATTAGGAAACAGGAAAGGTATTTATTTGTGTGTGTGTGTGTGTGTGTGTGTGTGTGTGTGTGTGTGTGTGTGT